TCCCTGAAACATCTGTCCACCTTGAAGGCGCACTGGTCAAATACATCCTCTTCATCCTGACCTCTGCAAAGGATCAAAGACGTGAGAGATTTCTAAAGAGCCATAACCATTATCTTTAACATCGAACGCTTTATCAATCTGTTGCAAGTGTCCTCAAGATCACACCGTCCAACACTGCTACAAGAAATGAAAAATAAGTCAAAAATCAACTAACATTTTGAAAAATGTACCTTAATTTGAGCACATTCTTACTGGATTTGCCAATGGGAAAAAAAAAAAATGTATCTTGTTTTTCAAAAAGATACAAGACCCCCCCTCCCCTTTTGTGTGTGGATGAGGACGTATGAAGTCTTTTTTTCTTTTTTGTCTTATGGCAGGGGTGTCCAAACATTTTAGTAAGTTCATTAGTTCACCAGACTAGTCCAGACTAATCCAGGGGACGGACTGAAGAACTGTCGTGACTGGCATCAGGCTGTTCTGAGCTTTCAAAGCTGAAGTTGGCTGAATGACAAATGTTTACCATCTCAACAGCTCACAAGTCAAAAACTGAATTCCAGACGTACTGGGCTTTAGAACGAGGTACGACATGTCTATATTGTCTGAGCTGAAGTTGGATGGATGACACAGTGAACTCGTGTTCATAATCTCAAAGACTTCTTTGGGTTGGCGAGGCAGACGACCACATAAAATGACACAGAGGGCCACAATGCCTTTAGGGTATCCTCTTTATGCATGTACATACTGCAGTGTCTCCCAAAGTGGGGTCCGCGGCCCCCTGGTGGGCCGCGAGGGTACTGCAGGGGGGCCGCGGGAGGTCATAAAAAAAATAAAAAAATAATATAATTATTTAATGTTAAATTTATAATGTTTTGTTTGTAATATTCAAATATTTGTGTTCATTATTTGACTTGAATAATCCACTGTAATCATTTTTGTATTACAATGTTTGTAGCAGAGGCTATTTCCCCAAAATAAAATAACCAGAAGAGCCTATTCTTAATGTTGTCTTCTTGGTTATTATTTTGGGGGGCCACGCAGACCCGTCAGATTTTTAAGGGGGCCTCGGTGTTACTGAGTTTGGGAATGGCTGACATACTGTATATATATATTTATTCTATTTTTTTATGTCAATGCAACTATGTCATATACTTTCGATGCCCTCAGTGCCTTTGTTTAGAATAATTCTGAAAATTCCCAATAAACATGAAATCTTGTTCAAATTAAGATAAAAACAACTTGATTCAAGCAGTATTATTATGACTATATTTGATCATTTTTTGCAGTGAAGTATTTGACCTCTGACACTGGCCACTATTAGCTTTATTATCTGCTAGAGCTGAGAATAAATAAATCAGCAGTGTTGTGATGTAAAGGTTGGCCATCTTGCTCCAGGCAGGAAATCTAACAAATTGAATGTATTAATCACTCTCAGATGTGTTTGTGTGGACCGAGAGGCCACAGCGTAATCCTGGTGATAATCTCCATCCGTCGATATTACAGCAGGACTTTTAGCTGCGCAGGTGGAACCAGGGGATTACAGAATGTGTTTTTTTATGATTACTATTAAAACAAACATTAAAACCACAAGGGTTTTAACATCAGTGTTGGTAATTTGAAAAAGCTCGTAAAAAGGCTTCAGTGACGAGAACAGCAGGAGATGGAGACTGCATCACAATAGCCCCATTTCCACCAGCCCTGTTTAACTCTCTACTACTCTACTTTACTCTGGGGTGACAGTGGCTAGAGTTTCCAAGATGGCGATCCAAGATGGCGATACAAGATGACGATCTAAATTGGCAATCCACGATGGCGAACCAAGATGGGGCATATTCAAATCAATGGCTTGTCCTCCCAGTTCTCCGCATTGGAACGACCTCCCATGATGCTTTGCGCCAAAAACGAATGAGAACACCTGTGTGGCGTGAGTGAAGCACCGAAGCGCTCTGGCCAATCAGGCGCTGCTGATCAGAGCGGAGTTAGAGCGGGAGACAACCGAGCAGAGTTTGTGGGAGTAAAGTCTGGATTTAAAGAAAAGCGAGTTTAGGATGACAAGGGACACTTTGAGAAAGCTATAGGTTCTCTGTCAGGTTCTCTGTCAGCTGAGGTCGAGCTGTTTTAGTTTACTTTGAGTTCTATGGGGAAATTTCTGGGTAGCTCACGTGAAGTTAGTCGTATTTATTAAGTAAGTTATTTTTTAATACCAATGTTGTCTTTGTCTCTCTTGTACATGTTGTTAGTGGTAGGGGGAAACCAGAGCACTCGGAGGAAACCTAGGCAGACACGGAGAGAACATACAAACTCCACTCAGAAAGACCCTGTTCCAACCGGGATACAAACTCAGGACCTTCTTGCTGAGAAGCGACAGTGCTAAAGTGGTTAATCAGGTGTGTAAAGCCAAAGCCAATTTCTTTTTAGAGATAATACAAGGTGCAAATGGAAACGGTAAAGTGATTTGGAAAAATGTGAATAAACTTTTGGGATAAACCAAAGAGGATCACCCTAAAAACCTACAGCTTCAGGTCAATGGGACATTAACTGTCAATACAAAATCAATCGTAGAGTGCTTTAATAATTTTTTTATAGGTTCAATAGAGGAACTGACAGGGCATCTAAAATGTACTGACAGTTCATGTAAAAAGCTTGATTTCAGCAAAACATTATTTAGTATACAAGAAATAACAATCCCTGATGTTATAAAAAATAATCTCTTCTCTAAAAAGCTCAAAAGCCAAAGATATCTTTGGTCTTTCCAGTGATTTTATTAAACGTCACAAAGAGGCACTTGCAAGTCCAATTGCACATTTAATTAATGTATCCATAAAACAGGCAACGGTGCCGTCAAATTGGAAAATGGCAAGGGTTTTTCCGGTGTTTAAGGCAGGAGACAAAACTAAACCTGAGAATTACTGTCCCATTAGTATCCTACCAATCATGTCCAAAATAATAGAAAAATGGGTTGCTGCACAACTAACAGAACACCTAAATTGTTGTGAAACACCGCTCCATCCCATGCAGTTTGGGTTCAGGAAGCATCACTCTACAGAAACCGCCACTTGTTACTTTTTAGAAAATTTTAAATATATGTTAGATTAGAGTGGGTATGTGGGTGCTGTATTCCTCGATCTAAAACGAGCCTTTGACACCTTAAATCATGACGTTCTGATAGCCAAATTATCCAGTTTTATTTTTTCTGAGAGCGCCCTCCTCTGGATGAGATCATATCTAACAGACAGAAAACAGACTGTACAAATAGACAATGTTCAGTCCACATTTCTCAATTGTTCCGCAGGTGTCCCACAGGGTTCAATATTGGGACCAATTCTGTTCAGCCTATATATTAATAATCTCCCCAACATGTGTAAAACTGTTAACATGCAGTTATATGCTGATGATGCTGTATTATATGTGCACGCTAAAACAAAATGTGAAGCTGCTGCAATCCTATCTGCAGCCATGGTCCCAGTGTCCCATTGGCTCCAAAATTCTTGCCTTCATTTAAATAAAAAAAAAACTGTCTGCATGTTCTTTTCTCGTCAGCCAGTAGGGAATGAACAACCATCTGTGATAGTTAATGGCGAGAGATTAAATTAAGTTAAACAATTCAAGTATTTAGGAGTGCTCTTTGATTCAAATCTAGATTTTAAGCAGCATATCAAGAAAATTGCACACATCATTAAATTCAATTTGTCAAATTTTAAGCATATAAGACCATGTCTGACCACAAAGTCTGCAAAGGCTTATATGCATGCAATGATCTTTAGCCATATAACGTACTGTCAAACCACATGGTCCCAAACATCAGAGTCCAACATGAGCCCCATCAAGTCTCTCTTTAAGAAAACATTGAAAACTTTGGATAGAAAGCCTTTACCAGATACCAGAGCTCTGACCAGAGGAGACTGTATTGTGCAACGTCGTAGGACTAAATTCAGTCAAACGGTGAATCTATCAGAGGCTCGCAGTTTTGGAACTCGCTGCCTGTTCATATCAGGAACTGTGACAATTACCACACCTTTAAAAAGGTCCTAAAAATCTGGTTAAAAACAAATCAATCTTGCACTCACAGGTTTAATTAAAGTTCAATGCTTAATCAATTCTTTGGCGTGTTATGTTATCTTACCTGTGTCTGTCCTTGTAACTGTGACTGTAACTTTGTGCTGTTCTCTGTACTATGTTTGTATTTTCCTTCTGTCAATGTTTCTTTTCCTGCCTTAGGACAACGGATGCAATTTAGCTCTCACGCTAATTCTGGTACATTTACATTGATGCTTTTGGCTGACGTGTTGATTAATGTGCACTGTCCTAATTCAAATAAATAAATAAATAAAAATAAAAAAATAAAAAAAACTTCTCAGTAGTATGAATGAATGAAGTTTGTTTATCTAAGGGACAGTGTGTAGTTACATTAAAAAGATGCCTACACCAAATTTAGCCTCATGCTACTTTCCATCAGTAGTCCCGCCACGGCGCCACCTCCTTGCGCACTGTGGTACCGTGGGAAGCCCCTGAACCCATGGGTCCTTCAGCTATAAGCTAGTAATACCTAGCTAACCGTCCAGATATTATAATAGATCCATGGTTCAAACCCACTGCGAGACCCTCTCCACTGTATTAAATATAAGTCCAGGAAAGCCTCTTGAAGCCTAGACGATAAGCTTTATATTGATGTTAGCTAGCAGAAGCAGTATGGTTGCTACACGCTGTTTTAGCGTTTTTTAAAAGCCCAAAGAAGAAATCGGTGCTGGCTTTCTGCAGTACAATAAGTCTAATGTCGGCCTGAGTTATAGCACTCTGCAGATTGATGTCTGGCTCCTGCTGGAAGCCGAGCGTGAAGTCAGAGTGTGAAACTACTACAGATTGCCTCCTCCACACATAACCTGTTCACCGGGAATAGACCGATCACCGTACACTGAAAATTACGCATGACTCCAGAGCATTACGACGGTCGTCAACGGCGATGGAGGCGAGAAACAGTGATGGATGCAAAACACAGCGGTCGTTTATAACAGAGCGATGTCTGCGTGATGAGACGGAGACGAGACAGAGATGAGGAGATGACAGGGGAGATCCTCCAGGGGCTACGGGAGGGGAGTTCAACGTTGAGCCTATATTAAAACAATAGTCTTAAAACTTGTTGCAAAGAAGGAAACACACATGAGTAAACCTAGTAGTATATAATAATAATAATAACAGATTCATGACTTTACAGAACATAAACACAATAATGGCAACAAGAATGAGGATGGATAGAACTGACATTATTTAATTCGTTATTGTTGTCGTTGTTGAAATAGTTAGCTAAAAAGGCAGCCAAACTGAATGTATAATATAGTGTATGTAAAAGGGGTCTTACTTCTTACTAGAGACGTGTGTGGTCAGGGAGAGTTTGGGCCAGTGTCTTGTCTGTGTGTGTGAGTGAGCGAGTGTGCGTCTTTTCTTTGTGTGTCTTGTTTATGTGATCTTAGGAAATGATGTTACTGTACAGTGTCATTTGCTGTTTTGCTGTATGTGTGAAAGGGGGTTGGAAACGTATACCACCCAACCCCCTTTTTCAAAACTTGTGACATGTTTTTCATTTGATAACTGATATTTGTACCTTGTGTTGTGCAGGTTTTGAAATCAATTAATAAATAACTGAGTAAGTAAGTGAGTCATGTTTATTTATATAGCGCCTTTCACAGACCAGAGTCACAAAGCGGTTTACAATTGTGGGCATTTGTCTCTCACTCCACCCAGAGATGGGAGCGAGCCAGTACAGGAGGTGCATGCCAGACCTATTGTACATGTTTTTAGTGGTAAAGGAAACCGGAGGAAACCTACGCAGACACGGGGAGAACATGCAAATTCCACTCAGAAAGGCCCTGTTCCGACCGAGATTCGAATCCACAACCTTCTTGCTGAGAAGCGACAGTGCTATCCACTCAGCCACCGTGACGGCCAACTAACTAAAAGCCAGTAAAAGGTGGATATATTTCATTTCATTTATCAAGAAACAAGATTCTGTTGTCATAGCGATACCCAAGTGTGTCATAATTTGTCTGTTTTTGTTTGTTTGAGTGGATGTTTGTTTTGGTGGGTGGTAGCATCATACTGTGGGGCAGCTTTTCTTCAGCAGGGACAGCAGGGAATGTCATAGTGGATGGGAAGGTGGACAGAGCACATCGACATAGTATTGACTTGTGCTGTATGATTACCTACAGTTTTTGATTATTATCATTTTTATCGAGAAAATCACGCGTCATTTTTTAAAACTTTGTCTGGGCTTTCAGCACAATATAAAAATTACATCTGTACGTCTATGTTTGTGGCTGCAACGCGTATTCATACATTTGCAAGGCACAGTACTTGCAGTTAAACTAGAAAAATGGTGATTCAGGTTTTGTCTGTGTTTCAGTGCGAAGACAAAACTATAACATCAATAATGAACCTGCAAAAAGTGAAAATAGGGAATCTATAGTGTAGCATTGAGAAGAACAAAAAACAATTAAACTGTTCTCAAAATCAAAACACTGCAAAAAAAAAGTGAATACTTGATTTCTGTGTATTTATCTATTCACACCATTTTCTTACTTATGCAGGTAGAAGATATGGATAAATATCACTTGTTATTCACATTTTTTTTCTTGTTTTAAGGTGGAAAAGCCATGATCCACTGGCAGACAATTTTGCTCAATAAAAAGAGCCACTTTTTTGCAATGAAGAAAATGAACAAAAGGCCAAGGTTTTAATGGCCTCCACACATGCAATGCTGTGTCTGTTGTTTTTGCTTGACTTGCACCAGTGTGAGAGACGAGTCCAGGTGGGTCCGATGGAGATGAAGGTGACATGATGAATAACAATGTTGCGTTTATAGAGAAAAAGGATTTGTGTGATATCGGACAACAAGAGCCAGCTGATCTACCACTATTCCAAAAACACAACGGAAGACACAAAATTCAATGTATTCCAATGCCATGCTCTATGTCTTTTGCTTTTGCTTGACTTGCACCAGGGTGAGAGATGAGTCCAGGTGGGTCCAATGGGGATGAAGATGATATGCCATAATATAAAATGCTAAAAGTATAGAGCAAAACACAATGGAATGAACAAAATGAGTATGTTTTAATGACTTCCACCATTGATATTCTAAGTCTATTGTTTTTGCAGGACACATAAAAAGCTCGCATGGGACTCTGCTTGCACCAGAGAGGGACGAGATGATTCTAGCTGGATCCGCAGGAGATGGAGGTGACATGGCGTGGTGGCAGGTGGTGGCAGTCTGGGCAGTGGGGTGAGATGGGTGCTATATGGGTTGCCAGGTTAAAAGGATGTCTTCTCTCCTACACATCCATGTCTCTGTACCTTGCGCTTGCGTTCAGCCCTCTCCCTGGACTTCCTCCTCCTCTCCCGGGCTTTCTCCAGCGCCTTCGCATCCGGCGACGGCTCCAACTCTAACCGGGCTTTCTTAATGTGAGCCGCGGCGTGTGCCATGGCTGCTTTTTTCTATGTTTTCTACCTATTCGAAGAAACGCAACGGCAAGCTCCCAAGGTTAAACTGAGAGAATGGAAGTTGCTAGAGTCCTCCTACTCCACTCTCTGCTGTCTGTCTGGTCAACTGTATCCTGAGCATGGCTGGGAGAAGGCATACCCAGGCGGAGGTGGGTGCTCTTGACCAATCAGGAGAGAGCAAATAAGGGAAGAGGCCACACCCCTTGGTTTGCCTTTGCCTCGATGCTACTAGAATGTACCGTGGTGTTTGATTTGTATTATCCACAAGAGGATTATGAGGAAAAATGTAGAGGGGGCATGGAATGACAGCGCCCCCGAGCGTGCCGTGTCACAAAAAAACAAAAGAAAAATGCGAAAAGGAAGGTGCCATTGTCAGGGGAGGCTTGTAAGGATGGTACAGTCCATAGCAAGGTATTTGTGGGCATGTTGTCAGAGTAAAATACAGCTTAAATATAGCCATAATAACAATTTTGCATTCATTTTCATAAGTAACAAGAAACATATAAAAGAATTGGCCGATGATGACGAAGAGTGGTTTGTGTGTGAGCCCTGTCCATGGTGCTGGAATATTAACAGCAGTGAGATAGGGCGAAAATACATAGAGATTCTTCATATATTCTTTATATGAGGATTTAAAATGGTGTTATGAGCAAGTAATGGGTGATTGTTGAAATTACAGCGGCTTATAACACAAATTATGATAAAGATTTAGAGGGTTTAGGTTCAAATTTGTGTTGATATTGCCACAAAAGCAACAAAACAGAACAAAGTGAATGTACCAGTGCTATTATCGTCATGTTGTTTTAGCCGCACAGGTTTTGTCGCCGAATTCTCTTACATTTTCCTTGAACACAGTAAAGTTGTGTCCTCTAACTAGCCCTGGACTCCAGCTGGAAACTTCACACCCAACACTAAACACACTGCGACTGCCAAAACGATTACCAAGGTCCATATTTAACAATCAAACAGCATATTCTTCTAAAATCTTCCTTTTACAAAGACATCTACTGCAGTGCTTCCACAGCCTCACCCTTCTGGATTTCTGGACCAATGGCGCCACCTACAGACCAGACTGCGCATAGAAAACACACTACAGACATCTCCAACATTTTACCCACTGAGAGCTGCTCTTTTAGGACAGAAAAGGCAGAAATCTCCTCTTTAAAAAAGCTTAGAAGAAATGTAGTCAATACTCTAGAAAGGTATAGGATGAAATTGGCTAGTTTTGTTTTTGTATTTATCTGTAAACTATTATTTTAGGATTTTGGGAGTTTCATTTATTGTTTTGCCAAGCGTTTTGAGTTGCCTTTTGTACTGCGCTTTACAAATAAACTTGTATTTCCTTGTCTGTCCAACTCTTTTACATCTTTAATGCCAAATATTTAAGCATTCTTTGACATGTCTAGCCCCCGTGAGCCACAGGTTGGAGCCCGCTGCACTTCACTAACTCAGCATTTGTCGTTATCTGTGAAAATGTGAATTAATATTAAGATTTTGCGCTTGTTTATTGTTCATATAAATAATGTCATGGTCAAAGAGAAAGGAGGGACTCGGCGACTCGCTAACGCCACAGGGAGAGAGGGCCGTCTCCTAATCTGACGAGGGTCTGGGGGTGATTACCGGACAACCAGCTGCCTCCTTGGACTTAATACTTGTGAAGCCTATAGAGAAACCCATAGAATAACAAAACAGTCTATACTAAACAGTCTGAAATTAACTAAATAAACTGGGATTATGACAGAGCACAAGTGAAACTAGGAAAATGTAAATATTGTTTAATTCAATCTACAATGTGAAACTGAAAGATGACAGACAACAATATCACAATATATTTGGCCTATATTTGTAGCTAACTGCATGTGAAAGCCAGATCCCGTCATATCTTTGAAGCCAAGCAGGGCAAGGCCTAGTCAGTGCTGTGATGGGAGACCTCTGGGAACACTAGCCCATAAATGTTCAATTGATGAAAGCGATCTAAATGTTTATTTTTCTGGTTTTCTATTATGTAGGAGAACTAATAACAAACAAATACATGTGTTTTTATGTTTTTTATTTTATTATTTTATATGCATAGGCCTTTAACAAGTGGTTGAGATGCAGTTGGATGGTAGAAGAGGAAGATTTCAGTTCCAACCAAGCTTCAAGTATAAATAGTGACTCAAAAAGTAAGCCACCGAATGGTTGAGGAAACTAGTAAACGGCTGGATGCCACAGTGGGGCGGCTGCGGCTGTAAAGTGCCAAACTGTTGTTGTGTCCTTAGGCAAGACACTTCACCCACATTAGATTGAGTCTGGTGTGTGTGTGTGTGTGTGTGAATGGCTGGTGGTGGTCAGAGCAGCCGATGGCACAGACTGGTTGCTTTGCTTCTGTCAGTGTGCCTCAGGGCAGCTGTGGCTACTGCAGTGTACGGAGTGAATGAATAATGACATTGTTGAGAGCCCAAAAAGGTTCTATATAAAACATTCTGTATTATTACTCTTAAGAAACCCCAATAAAACATAGAATATTTTGTAAATGAACTGAAGGCCATCAAACTATCAAAATTATAACCTAAAAAAAGGCTTGGCATATGTCACTCTGCAAATAATAAGTATATATCATGTATTGGTTTCACATTATAGGTTGAATTACAAAAATAAATGACTTTTTGAAAAGATCCATAGACTGTGCGCATATAGCCTGTTCATAAATAGCCATACAAAAAGTTTTAAATAGTAAATCACAATCCAATCAGTACGAGAAAGTTCAGACACAAGACATAAAAACAGCTAAGTTAAGATCTACTTATGCGTTTACTGAACCATGATGAAGATCTTTCGAAGAGAATACAGCCACAAAATCAATTCCTTACACAAATACTAATAAAGAATCATTAGCAGATCAAAGTAAGATTGCTTTCCGTCCACACAAAAAAAAAATTATCAGATCTGTGCTGGGCCTGTTACTCCGTAGTCTGTAGAAAACACATTATTCTAAGACAATAGAAGAACAGTCCAATGAATAAACCCAAAAACAATGCCATGTGAGTGCAGCAGTGCCCTCTAGTGGCGGAAAACTGCAGCTGAACTTATCTGTGAGAAACCAGAGCAGAGACAGGCGTCCAGGAGATCGCAAGACTTACCTAAAAACACAGAAACGGGAAGAAATTTAGTGTCCTGGTTATACACAACATATTTTTATAAACTGTAGATGTTAAAGTGTTTGTAGACGATTGAGCTACAGGACATAATGGAGACGTACAACACATATATGTACACAATCACACTGCTTTTTCATAACATTTATTCATATTATTAGATATGAATACTGTGCATTGGGACTTCTGTGCGTGATTCCTATTCAAGTTTAAATAAATAGATAATTATTAACACAGAAAACTTAATTGTTTCAAAGATAAATACAGTTGTTTGTTGATAATTTCTCATTTCTGAGCTGTAAAGATACATAACACACATGTTCTGACCGGGTTTAGCTTCCTGCTCGTCGCCATGGAGATGTGTTTTCTTTGTTGCTTTGAATGTGTTACATTTTCGTTTCATTACAATTGTTTTTAACTGCTTAAAAACCCTAAATTCTTACAGTGGGTCGACGCGCCTCTTCACAGATTCGGTTAAAACAGGTTTCATTCATACAGACAACAGGTGGAGGACAGAAGAAGGAGGTACAGGTCTGTGAGAGCCAGACATCTTTCTTGTTTGTAGGTGACCAAATACTTATTTTCGACCATCATTTGCAAATAAATTCTTTCAAAATCAAACATGAGATGTGATTTTCTGGATTTGTTTTGTTCTCATTCTGTCTCTCATAGTTGAGGTTTACCTATGATGGAAATTACAGCCTCCCTCATCTTTTTCAAGTGGGAGAACTTGCACAATTGGTGGCTGACTAAATACTTTTTGCCTCACTGTATGGGATTATCCGTCCCACAGTGGGGAAATTTCAATGTTGTAGCGCACAGACAGGACAGTCGAGCACACAGGGAGCACACAAAATAAGTAGTAGCTATTTTTCTTAACTAGCTGTGAATGCTTCAATACCAGTCTTTCAAAATATATATATACTGTATATGAAGTGCAGAGTTATATACTGTACATTACGGGCAGGATAATAAGTATTTAAAGTACTGTGACATTCTGAAGTTGCAGTATTGAAGGAATGACATTTACAGCCTCAGCAGTTCTCATTGTGCAGTCCTGTAGCTTAACCAAGTGAAGTCACTCAATCACTACAATATACTGTGGTACATTCAAGGCAACAATATACAGAATAAATTAATAACAACAACACATTTCTTTGGTTTTTGAATAAAAGAATCAATGTGTCTGTAGGTGGGACACTCTTTCTACTTATATTTTAACACACGGATTCGGAAATAGTCAGATTCAATCCAACTTCATGACAAAAACCCTAAAAAACACCGTCTGTGATGTGTTATTTGCACAAACACAGACATAAAGACGCCAGCACCCGCTCCTGTGCTCCGCTGCGTCCCTTGGAGCCCAATTTCTTCCTCCTCTGGGTCTGTTTTTGGAGACACAGCGTCCCATTAACCCAACCCCTCCGTCTGCCTCTACACGATCCTTCTGAATCCCCCTGAGAGCAGCGTGTTAGCACTAGCACTGGAACTCCCACAGCAGTCAATTTGACGGCTTTTAGTTTTGGAAGAATACTTACTCCACACTTTTTGATATTTTATGGAGTGTTGGTATTTTTGTTTTGTGTGCGTGTGTGTTGGTTTGTATCTGTATGTGTGTGTGTGTACATTTGTATGCGTGTGTGTATGTATGTATGTATGTATGTATGTGTGTGTGTGCGTGTATGTATGTGTGTGTAGGAGTGAATGTATGTATGAACGTGTGTGTGTGTCTGTGTGTATGTACTGTATGTGTGTGTGTGTGTGTGTATATGCCTGTATGTACGTATCTGTGTGTAAGTGTATGCGAGTGTGTGTGTGTGCAAAAATGTATGTCTATGTGTGTGT